AGATCAGGGAGATTCAGGGGCTGATTGGGAAGGCGGGTGGTGAAGGGGGAGAGGAGGGAGGAGGGTGGTGAGGGAGTTGGATGGGTTGGTTGCTGATGCTTGGTGAGTTTTTTTTCCGAAGCGGAGAGGCTGAGATGTTTGGCTGACGAAAGAGAACAGTATTTTGTGCAGTGATTATGCTGTTAGGAGGATTAATGAGCCCTTTGTGGCGGAGGGGGAGGATTTGGAGGAGTGGGCTTTGTAAAGGGGGGGGTTATGATGTCAGGGTGGTGAGCGTATTTTTAACAACCCGAGTGAGGTGTGATGAGACCAAGATGGAATTTATATGACGTAGAAAGCAGAGAGCGAAACGTTGATACCCTCGATTTATCAAACACCGACCGTTCCCGTCTCTCCCCCTCTGCTCAAAAGCCTTGATGGTGTTCTTACTCCAAACAAGCCCTCCCCTCCCCTACTCCTAGTGATCATGAGAATACTAACAATAACGCCATACAACCCCAACACCTCAGCAAAGATGAGGATGAGGACCATGCCGGTGTAGAGCCTAGGCTGCTGGGTAGACGCCCGGATGCCCGCGTCGCCGACGATGCCGATGGAGAAGCCGGCGGCGAGACCGCAGAGGCCGACGGAGAGGCCGGCGGCTAGGTGGAGGAACGAGGTGAAGAGGGGGACGGACTCGATCAGGGAGGAGGATATGATGACTGAGATTACGAGGCCGTAGATGGAGAGGATTTGGGACATGATGGTGGGGAGGGTGTTTTGCATGACGCGGTCGGGGCGGAGGACGCCGGAGGAGAAGAGCCCGGCAGAGGACTTGGCGGTGCCGTAGGAGGCGCCGAAGACGGTGAGGATTATGGAGAGGGCGCAGCCTAGCGCTCCGAAGAAGGGCTAGAGGGTAATCAGGGGGTGTTTTTTTTTTTTTTTTTTTTTTTAAGGAGGGGGAGGCTGACGGAGTAGTCTGGGCTGTTGACGGATGGAGGTTAGTTGGGTGTGTATTGGGGAGAGGAGAAGGGAAGAGTACCATCGATCGAGGTCTCTGTAGTGTGCTTCGTCCATGTTTGCTGTTGTCGTCCTCGTTGTAGCAGGTAGTCTTTAGCGGGAGAGAGAGAGAGAGAGATAGATGGGATTTGAGGTTCGTTGGAGTTGGGGATATCGTGATAGCTTTAATCTTGTCTGTCATGTACAAAGATTGATTGATGATGGACAACCGCAATGGCTCAAAGGCAAAACCAGCTCTCTCCTCTTGCTATTAATACCAGCTTACCTACCTCTCCGTAGCTACCTCTTCCCAGCTGAGCATCAACTTTGCGAGGCATCTAGGCAGCACAATAAAAGGGTTTCCTTCCTCCAATCTATACGTGTGTTCCAACGTGGAGGTTCTTTGGGTGGCACAGGCCGCGAAAGAGAGCAGCTGACGAGTTCATGTTGCTTGGCGATGTCTTGCAGGCGGAAGGAGCTGCGGTTGGGGATACATATGGGGGATGTGATTGGCGTGTCAGGAATGGCATTTTGACAGCCGACAGAAATGTCCGATGTGAGACGGGAGGCAAGCTGTCGGGGTTGGGAATTGGGGGTTGGGTTGCGCAAGATTCTTTTATGTAGGGTATGAGAGGGGGTGTAAGTGAGTGAAGTTTACCTACCCAGCATTTGATGCCCCACAATAAATCTTCAGGCTTCCCCGGACAATTCAACAACGGCCGCTAATACCAGCAGAAACAACACCATGGGTATTAGCCCCAACTCTATCCTCAAGGAGCGCTTTTTATATCTCGATTGCTGAGCCAAAGAAGAGCATTCCCAATCACCCAGTTCCCTCGGAGACTAGTCTGGAGATGGCCTGAACGCGCTTTTATATCTTTCACAGTCAGCTATGACCCTGATGTCCACGCAACCACACCCACGCAGCGCATTGTGCACAGATGGGCTGTATCAGATCTGGTCGACGTTTCATCTGCTTCCCCACGTCGTTGAAAGCTTCCCAGGAACAGCCCATCCGGACGATCCGGCCGCTCACTAGTATGATGACGAAGACGTGAGGGGCACGGGATAGCCCGGCTACCCAAAACGGCCTCTACCACACCTCTTCTCCACAGACTTGGGAATCCGGGGGTCCATCTCCAAGGAATTGCGATGGAACTGGCCGCGCGTACACTTGATAATACCCTTTGTTTCCTCATGGTTGGAATGTCGGCCCTTCTTGACGATTATCTCCTCAACGGGACAAACGGGTGAAGATATCGGAAAGCCAATCAGCACAGGGTTGAAGGGCTCAGTAGCGAGACATGCTAACATCGACGCTAAATATTTTCCTGGGTCGCAATGTCGCAGATCTTCAACGACAGAAGGAAGGAGAAGCTGCCAAAGATCAATGACCCCGATATGGACATTGGCATCCGTCATGATCCTGGTCCGCCAGATCCTCAACTTTGCCTGCCTCTCTGCCCATCGTTTCAGTCTGAACGGTGAAGAGAGAGCCACGGCGAGTGAAAGAGATGGCACGCAATGCATCTTACCCGCCCCCTCTCTCAAGCCAAACCGGGCCCCCGGTTCCCGGCTCCTCTGGGACTCTGGAGGGGATGATCGATGATGAATTGGACAAGTGACTGATGAAGGAGTCCGGTTCCATCTCCAAAACCTCTTCTCTTTCTGTCTTCTTTTCCCAGTTGTGTTTGGTTCGCTGGTTCGGGCTTGGGTCTCGCTCCTTCCTTCTTTCCTTTCTTTCTCTTCCCTTCGTCCCTTCCTTTTCTTTGACCCTCGCCCTCTTGCGGGCAATTTTATTTTAAACCTTTCTCTTCTTTCTGTTTTTGGCACATTTACCTACCTTAGCAGGCAAGGTAGTTGCCACTCGGCCCCCTCCCTCTTCGACACCAAGAACGCAAAGAACAAGTCGTGCCGGCTCGGGCCTTGGCCTACGTACACGAGCTACCCACACTGCCGCACGTCGCGTTCTTGGGAAGGAGGAGTTTGCTCTTATTCCCTTTTTAGGTCCTTGCGGTTGCCGAGCACAAACGGGTTTGCGCTTTTTGCTCTTTTTCTGAACGTCTGTTCGCCGGCCGCTATCCTGCTGCCCTTACCAACCACTCGGGACCTAAGTAGAGACAGGGGACCTTGACGAAGGGGGGCTTTACATATAGTCATTCACTCTTTGGTTTTTTTTTTGGTTTTTTTTTTGGTTTTTTTTTTTTTTTTTGGTGAAGTTGTACCTCATGCTGCCATTATAGCAACTACTGCAATAAGCGGTTTCTTGGAAGAGATTGTTGGGTTTGTTTGTGTCGTTGGTTGTTCGACTACATTCTTATACTCGAGACCATACACTCATATTCTTTTCGAGAGCAACGGAAGGATGAAGACAGCCACTTCTCTTTTGGTTGTTGCAGCCTCGCTTGCGGGTCAGACGATAGACGCTCTCTCTTTGCCATCGACGACGCCAACACAACAACAACAACGAAGAGATGGAAGTGGACCGAGGGTTGTGGGGATGGATATTCAGAGGAGGACGCCCAAAAACCCATTACATCGAGATCATCTAAGAAAGAGAGGGAGCGTGGAGGTCGATTTGGACAATCAGGTACGTTCCTTTTTTTCTTTTTTTTTCCTTTTATTCTTGTTTTTTTTCTTTTCTTTTTTTCTTTTTTTCTTTTCTTCTTCTTTTCTTCTTCTTTTCTTCTTCTTTTCTTCTTCTTTTCTTCTTCTTTTCTTCTTCTTTTCTTCTTCTTTTCTTCTTCTTTTCTTCTTCTTTTCTTCTTCTTTTCTTCTTCTTTTCTTCTTCTTTTCTTTTTTTCTTCTTTTTTTCCTTTTTTCCTTTTTTTTTTGGCGTCGAATAATGTGTCAGGATGGTAAACACTTACACGTTTCTAGGAAACCCTCTACTTCATCAACGGCACAATCGGCACCCCACCAAAATCCCTCCGTCTACACCTCGACACCGGCTCGTCCGACCTCTGGGTCAACACCCCATCCTCCTCCCTATGCACCCAGTCCTCAGCGCCCTGTAAATACGCCGGCACTTACTCGGCCAACGGCTCAAGCACGTACGAGTACATCGGCTCCTGGTTCAACATCTCCTACGTCGACGGCTCCGGCGCCTCGGGGGATTACGTTTCCGACACCGTCACCTTTGGCGACGCCACGCTGGACAGGTTGCAGTTTGGCATAGGATACTCGTCCAACAACGCCCAGGGCATCCTCGGGATAGGGTACCCGATCAACGAAGTCCAAGTCGGCAGGGCAGGAATGAGACCTTACAACAACCTCCCCGCGCAAATGGTGGCCGACGGGCTGATCCAAACAAACGCTTATTCCCTGTGGCTGAACGACCTCGACGCTGACACGGGGAATATTCTGTTTGGCGGTGTCGACACGGAAAAGTTTGTTCCCCCGTTGATGTCCCTCCCGGTGGAATCCGAGGCGGGGGTGTACGCCGAGTTTATGATCACGTTGACGAAAGTCGAGCTCGGCTCGGCGCAGGTAGGCGGCGATCTCGCCTTGGCTGTGCTGTTGGATACCGGCAGCAGCTTGACGTACCTCCCCGACCGGATGGTGCAAGATATTTTCGACCTTGTCGACGCGCAGTACGATCCTGAGGCTAACGCGGCGTATGTTCCTTGCTCGCTTGCCGACAATGAGACTGCTGTTTTGTCGTTTACGTTTACGGAGCCGACGATCAATGTGGGGATGGATGAGCTTGTGCTCGACCTTGTGACGAGCTCGGGGAGGAGGCCGGTTTTTAGTGACGGGACGGAGGCGTGCCTGTTTGGGATTGCGCCGGCGGGGGAGGGGACGAATGTGCTGGGGGATACGTTTTTGAGGAGTGCGTATGTGGTTTATGACTTGGAGAATAACGAGATTTCGTTGGCGGCGACGAGGTTCAACAGTACGGGGACGAGGGTTGAGGAGATAGGGAAGGGGGAGGGGGGGGTGCCGGGGGCGACGAAGGTGGAGAATCCGACCAAGGCGACGGAGGGGTTGGATGGGCCGAATGGTTTGGGGGGGATAAGTGCTGGGAATAAGAGGGGTTTGGAGGTTGGGGTGGTGTGGTTGGTGGCGGGTATGGTGGGAGTTTTGCTGGTGGTCTAAGGGGTCGTATCTTTGCATTTTGATGGCGTTGTTTTGGTGGTCAGGGGCAGGATCTTCTGGTTTTCTCGAGAGGGGAAATGGGCGTGGCGTTTGGCTTGGGTATGGGTTGGATTTGTTTGTTGGGTAGGCAGCATCTGAGGGTTTTGCATTTACATTGGGTGTGGGAGAGGGGAGGTAGATCAAGTGAATTCAAGATTTGAACAAACATTGACCTTGTTGTTGAGTGTGAAAAAAGGTAAGTGGAAGAAAGGGACAGAGGTGTGTGTAATAGATGTGCATCATTGCTGGTTATAGGAAAGCAAGGTTGGAGAAAGAAGAAAAAGAATAGAGAACGGCCGAGTTACTTTTCGAACTCGCGCGTCTTGGTATTTTGTCTTCAATAGGGCAAGACATTGGGTGAAGAACAAAAAGGGATTTCTTACATTTGATTGATGGTCATGTGGTAGCCGTTAAGCTACCAAGAGGGCCAATTAACCAGATGCAAGTGATGATTTTGGGAGGATTTAAAACATCTTATATGGTCGTAGGAGATATCTGGCCAAAGGTATCCAGGTATCTCGTTCAATGACACAAGCTCCGGATTCACACTAACTATTACAAGCTCGACTTATTCCTCAAACACAAACGTCTTGCAATGTAAGATGAAAATAGCATCCCACCAAAAAAAACAAAAATATGGATGCAGAAAATTGGGTTAATCGCCTCTGAGCCATGCAATGGCGATTCAACCAGATGCTGAGTGAGTGTGAGAGGCTGGAAAAGAAAGGATAAGATAGGCACATCGCTCATTGGCTGCGCTTCTCAGGAGGTCAATAATGGAGCAACTGAGGGAGAAGCATTTCTTGGCATGCTGTCACTGGCGAGTGGAATTCCACCATAGAGAGGTCACGTGGTGTCGTGTTTGTAAGTCGCGCGAGCAGACACGAGGGGATACACGGTCACGGCTTGATGACACTATATTGAGGTCTTGACGATTATATAATAACCACAGTTTTACCAGACCATCTTCCGTAATGACGAGATAACAAAGGCTGGCTCTATCACTTGTGGCCAGTACCTAGCAGACATGGCCAACAAATAAGGACGATTGGCTAAAGGTGAAATGTAAGAGAGAAGAGAAAGGGGTGAAGGGGTGATGTAGCCAGCTTTTAGGCTTTTGAAGAGTCAGCAGGCAGCAGTCCTTTTGGTGGTCGAGATGACTCCCAGGTCCCATTGCTCCTACCCAAAGTTCCAATGGAAAGCCTCAGTGGAATCCTGCCCCCTTTTGGCTTTTGCTTGCGCAAACCCTGTCTATAATAATAACCTTCCACCAACCCTCTCCAAGAATTAATCATCCTGCAACGTTCATCCAGCATTCAACAACAACTACTCGGCATACATCAACAACCTCATTACCAACACAATGGCCGCCCCAAAACCAAACATCGGAACCTTGGACGCCGATATTGCTTTCCCTCCAGGGCCCGAGGACACCGTCAGCGCCCTCCGATGGTCTCCCAAGGCAGACCATGTGGCCGCCTCTGCTTGGGACGGCAGAGTGTATATCTACGATGCAACAAACGTCGCCGGCGGCACAGGTTCCATCCGCCCTGTCACCGCCATGAACAACAACCTCCACCCTTTTCTCGATTGCGATTTCAACCAAGTAAGTTTTTGATGAGTGAGGTGATGCATCTATTCGCCCACTCGACCGAATCGAGATTATCGAGGACCCACTAGGAGGATGCGAGGAGCATCCACGGATGTTGATGGTGATACGTGGAGGAAGCAAATATGCGTGAACATATATAAACTGGTGATTTAAACAGGCATGTACCACACAACACTGCGCTGTCCACATCCGCTAACCTGGACCCCAACAGGAAGGGAACATGATTGCCGGTGCCTCGACCGACGGAAAAGTCCACATCATGGATCTCAACGCGCCAGGTCAAACCATGACACTTTCCGGTCACCAAGCCCCTGTGAGGACCGTCCGTTGGGTGGACCTTCCCTGCGCCGGGAATTCGACCGGTCTGCTTGTTTCTGGGTCATGGGACAAGACACTTCGGTTCTGGGACAAGCGGCAACCCAACCCCATCGCCACCGTCAACCTCACCGACCGTGTATGGGCCATGGATGGGTCCGGTACGACCCTCGTCGCGGGGACAGCAGACAACAAGATTCACATCTTCAACCTGGGAAAGATGACACAGAGCAGTGCCATAAGACCCACGATGGTCATCGACTCGCCTCTTGTGGACCAACAAATCAGATGCATAGCTGTCAAACACGGTGGTCAATACTGGGCGGTGGGAGGTATTGGCGGAAGGGTAGCTTTTGGAGCTACCCAACCTAACCCGATGAAGTATACCCCCATCTTTCGGCCCCCTGGCTTCGCTCTACGCCTTTTACTAACCGGACCTTGTCTTATTCGCTTTTAGGTCAGGAGTGACTTTCTCGTTCAAGTGCCATCGTGAAGTGTCGAAAGAATCAAGCAAAGTGACGAACGTGTCCGCCGTCAATGACCTTGCCTTTGCCAATTATATTGCCCATCAAAATGGCTCGACGGCGAGGATCGTGATGGCGACGGCAGGTCAGGATGGACAGGTTATGGTTTGGAATGTGACTAAGAAAACTAGACTGATATCGTATCCGTCTCCCGGGGGGAGTATCACGGCTTGTGGCTTCAACTGGGACGCGACCATGTTTGCGTATGCGGTTGGGTATGATTGGGGAATGGGGTGTGCTTATAACACGCCGAATTATCCAAGAGGGTTGGCGCTGCGGAGGGTGGATTATTCGTGGTTTGCTTAGGAAGAGGGTGGAGGCAAAGAGAAGGGGTCGGCGCTGATACCTTTGAGTATATCGTTGATAGGTATGGAGCGTCTTTTTCTTTTGTGTGCTTATGGCTGGTGTTTTTATGTGTTGGGTGGGTATTGGTATAAATAGGGATTATGTTGCGAGGGAGAGGAAACATGGAAGTCTTGGGGCAGGAAAGGTGGTGTTGGTATCATGACAGGAAGGAAACACAACTTGTCATTCATTAGGTGTTCAGTAGCAACATCGTGATGAGCGAACATAGCAACAGAACTGCCTTTTCAGTTTGACGTACAGTCTATTAATTATATACAATCCCGTTCATTACATCAACTATACACAAAAGAAACAAGACCCCTTTTCAGGTTCCATACACCCCCAAGTACCAAGCAGAACTTTTTGACTCCTGCCGTGATGTGTGTACAACCAATCAACCACCTCCCTTCTCTCTCTCTCTCTCTCTCTCTCTCTTTTTCTCTCTCTCTCTCCCCCTCTTCATCTCGTCCCCTGCCCCCTTACTCAGCCCACCCAAAAACCTCCCCAATCGCCACCGTATTCCCCCTCAACCCCAACAAACTCACCCCCAACGCCACCAAGTCCACCACAATCAACACCACCCCCGCCGTCGCAAACCTCGGCATAAACACCCGATAAAGCATCAGATGCCTCCTCAAATGCCCCGCCCACATCATACTCATCCACCCCTCCACCGCGAAAAAACCGACAAACGCCCCCAGCTTTTTGCTCGTCTCCGCCAGCGCACCCTTCTTCTTGGGTGACGCCTTCCAAAGCACCAAGAGGGGGACGCAAACCGTGGCGAGAATCTGTGCCGCAAAGGTGTTCATCGCCACTGCCAAGGGTGACCAAGGGTAGCGGACGGAAAAAAGGGGGATGAACGCGGAGTCCCATTGAATGGTCGACAGCACAGCCTGATGGCCCGTCTTGAAAAAGTGAAACGAGCCCAGGATCGCGAGCATGACTGGTCCGATCGGGGTTGCAGACAAAGAGTTCGAGTCGAGGATTTCAACGAGGGAGAGGATCTGCCAGAATAGAATGGCCAACGCGCCGCCGCCCATGGGTTTGGAGAGGAGGATTAGGGAGACGAGGAAGTTGAGCGGGAGGAGGAGGTACCGCGCCCCGTGCGCGTTGCCGTAGCCCAAGATCGCGACCTGTGCCCGGGTGGGTGTTGATTTCGAGGCTGAGGTGACGATGCTCACGCAGGGGGGCGCCCACATGAATGCTGTTGTTCCTGCTATAAAGGCCAGGCCGAGGACCATCTGGGCGGTGTAGACGGAGAGGTTTTTGAGCTTTTTTTCGGGCAGGCCAGAGATCCAGTTCCCGTTGTCGGCTGAGTCGAGGACCCAGTAGAGGGCTGACATGAAGAGACCCGTGCGGAAGACGTACCCGATCCAGGCTGGGGCTAGGCCCTCGTAGGAGCGGGTGGGTTGGAGGTAGGCTTTGATGATTGTGGGGAGGATCAGGCTCACCGCGAAGGGGATGGCGAGCTGCCAGAGGGCAGAGGTTGACGAGGTGGAGGAGGCGTAGTAGGTTGATGTGCAGTAGGGCATTTGCTCTTCGCGGCAGAGCTTGGAGGCGGAGGCAAGGCGGCCGAGGACCACGAAGAGGATCGAGTGGTAGATGGCCATGTAGCGGTCGGCAAGGGACTGGATTCGCAGGGCGGAGAGGGCTGTGACGAAGCCAAAGGTGGTGATGAAGAAGAGCAGAATAGAGTCCTCCCAGATTGTGTACGAGTTGGAAGCGAAGCCGATAGACTGGCTGAGAGTGAACACTGCTGCCATCCACCCCCAAATTGTGGATGGAACAAGAGTCCGGAGGGTCTCCTTGATTTCGTAGAGCGACACACCGACAGTGGCAATGCTGGTGAGGGCGGCCATGGCAGCACCGCGGTAATAGTCGCCCGTGCCCTTGAGGTAAGCATGGAGAGCACCGCCAATAAGGCCCGGAACTGCGCCAAGGAAAGCAGCAGCAACAAGTTTCCTCTCGAGAACATTCTCCAACGGCAGCTCCGAGTCAGGAATGACGCCCATAATCTCCAGGCTCTTTTCAGCATCGTCCAGCTCAGGGTCATCAACAGCCTCATCATCCTCGGCTCCCTTGGAGACGTAGACTAGCAGGGTAAGAACACCGAATCCCATGACGGCGATTCCAAGAATCATGTTCTTGATGTTGAACTGCGCCCAAAGGCTCTTGCAGCGAGCCAGAGTCTCCCTTTGGTACTCGGCAAAAGCAGAATAGACAGCAACCCAGTTGCCCTTGGAAACCAGACCCTCAGCCTTGTCCCAAAGATCAGCCGGCGAGCCGGGGGTAGAAGCAGGTTCCTCAGCCATGCCTCTGGCAGCAAAATAGGAGGCCTGATACCGCTTGACACCAGCAGCCGCAACCCTTTCAGCCGCAGCCAAATTATTCCAAGAATTGCCGCGAGGACCAGCAAAGACCTCCTCGATAGGACGCCCCAAATTATTGAAAGGAATAGGAATACCCATCATCAGCGCCAAAGTCGGCACTAAATCAATCTGGTTCACCGGCCTCTCCACCGCAGTAGCCGGCGGGACCGCAAACTCAGGCTTCGTCCTCCCAAAACCCCCCTTTGGCGAGTACATCCAAAGCGCCGCCTGCACCTCATCATCGCTCTCCCCCCCATGATCCCCCTTACTATCCATCCCGTGATCTCCCATCACAATCAACACCGTCCTCTCGTCAATCTTCCCCGCCAGATCCCTCACAAACCCATCCATCTGCCTCAACTTCCTCCCCATCTCGGGATGCTCAGGCCCATACCGATGTCCCGCATGATCCACCCCCAACAAATGCCCAATCACCACATCCCACTCCCCCTTCCTCCCCTCCTCCATCAACGGAAAGATATGCTCAATAACACCCTCATCCACCGTGTGCAGATCCCACACATTAAAACTATCATACGGCCTGCTCAGATTCCCCTCAAAATACCCCGGAAAAAGACTCTCCCAAGTGTCATCCCCCAAGTGCACCACCCTCTTCCCGGCCCCCCTCAGCTGCCCCAACAAATTATCCTCCTCCACCGCCGTCCCCGAAAAGCTGCTCCCCACATCAATAAAAGTAGGCAGCGTCCCCGTCGTCAACCCCTTCAACCTCTGCAGCGTACTCGTGGGCGGATCGGCAATAAACGGCCGCAAAAAAGCCTTGTTCGGCTCCCGAACAGCGGTCTCGTACATGAACGGGAACCGGTTGTGAAACTCGGCGTTGTCGTCCACGGGAACGGTAAAGTCGTATCTCAACGCGTCGATCAACACCACCACTGCCTTGTCGAAGGTCTTGGGGTGCCAGCATCCTCCTTCTGGGGTCCCCTTTCCTGGCCAGGCTGGCAAGATCCCCCCTTCTTGCCCTGCGGGAGAGACGTCGCAGAGGGATTTATCGTCCAGTTGCAGTCTTGTGAGGAGGAAGCCGCTGGTGAAGTACCCCAGCCCGACGAGGTGGATGGCTAGCATCCAGACCCAGAACCCGGCCGTCCATGCCCAGCGGGATTGGTACGCCTTTTTGCGGCGACCTTCGAGGGCTGCTCGTCGGAGTTCGCGGAGCTTGATCTCGTCCGTGTTGTTGGGTTCTACGGCGGTGACGGCTTGGTCTTTGACGGCTTTTTTGGTCGCATCTTCCGCGTCCTTTTTGCGCTTGGCGGCGTCCCATTGGGATTTGAGCGTCTTGTAATCGGGGGCGGGAACCGCTTTTTTCGGGGTTGGTTGGGGTGGTGGCATTGTGAAGGTTTATGGTGGCGCTTTCGCGCGCGCGCGTGTCGATGTCGTCGTGGGGTTGTCGTCAGGGGTAAGAGATCTGATAGAATGCGATTAAGGGGTGATGGGTGGGTTATACGATTGGATGTCGAATTGCGAAGAGTTGAAGAAGCAAAAGAAAATAGGTTCAAAGATAAAGAACGGGTGAGATCTCCCACGTATCGAGGTTATTACAACAAAAAAGAGTAGAGCCAAAGAAAAAGGCCGTCGACAAGGCGAGAGGATACGGAACTTTTGTTCAACGAGACAGGTAAGAAGAATGCGCCATTTGAACGGCGACGAAATGCCAACTGGCAAGCTGTTGATTTTTGGAGCTTCCAGAAAGCAAAACCATCTCCACAGCTTTGTTTGGCAGCTCCTCCTCCCCGTGTCTCCCAGCAAAATCCTCAGGCCGTCGTCATTTGTTGGCGCAACTACCCTAACCCTTGATTTACACATGCCACCTCCTGAATCAGCATCTAGACCGATCCAATAGGAGAATTATGATCATCATCTCGCCTCGGAAGGAAACAACGCTTCCTTTCGGCAAGCATGGAAACCTGGAAAGCAAAGCAACAAGCGAGAAACGTCAAAACAAAAAAAACCGTCGGGGGATGCTCGGCCCCATACCAGTATCCCACAAACGGTCGATCATGGACAGTTGCGAGACCGTTCAAAAACGCCCGCCTCGCGGCAGGCATCGTATATTTAATTATACAATACTAGAATGACCGAGGTGACGGTTAGAGAAATGCCACAAACCCGCCATCGAAACGCTGCCCGATCAGCAATGCACCCCAAGTATGTACGTTGATCCTCCCACCGAAAAACATTGAAAAAAAAAGAGTACTCCATAATGTGTGTGTGTGTGTGAATGTACGCGGTTGCTACCCGTTGGCACCATCATAGCATCTATCTATATAGCGGGCACATCTGGTGTGCTCCCCCCATGCTCCCGTTAAGCCAGCCTGCGCGCATCAGGTTATCCTCTCCAAGCTGAATTGTGTCGAAAGTGTTTGGAAGCTGGGTGCCCTCAGAGACCCTCGAATTGAATAAATAGACAAGTGGAAGAAAACAGCAAGGCCGGTGTTTTCTGCAGAAGGAAGGTATGTATGGTATAATTTTCGTGCCCGGTCCCGTTTTTCTCACAAACTCCAGTCGCCCATCAAATCATTAAAAAGTCCGGCTCGTCGTTTGTGTGCGCGAATGAGCCTTCATGTTTGTTGTTGG